ATATACATTTCATTCCGGGTCCCAACAAGAGACCTAAAATTTATCAATCTATCTCAGTCTGTTCGGATCTATGTATCTCAGTCTGTTCGGAACTATCTATCTATTTATCTATCCATCTATCTATCTATCTATTATTATTATTATTATTATTATTATTGTTTCATTTCATTTCTGTTTTATACTCATTACTCTCGGGATACTGACCAGAGACCTAAGGTGTCAGTCTGTTGATATCTATCTATCTATCTATCTATCTATCTATCTATCTGGCTCAGTTTGTTCATATCTATCTATCTATCTATCTATCTATCTATCTATCTATCTATCTGTCTGTCTCAGTCCGTTCATATCTATCTATCTATCTATCTATCTATCTATCTATCTATCTATGTCAGTCTGTTTCTATCTATCTATCTATCTATTATTATTATTATTATTATTATTATTATTATTATTCCTTTGATTTCTGTTTTATACTCACTGCCTTCCGAGTCCTGACCTGAGATCTAAGTTCAGAAATAAACATATTCTACCGAACATTTTTGTAAAAAAAAACTAAGATCACACACATTATCTAAAAAAAAACTAAGATCACACACATTATACATAGACAAGGTTCTTCGTAATGTGTGAGCTGTACTTGTGAGTACAATGTTTTGACAGCCACCAAGAAATGCTAATTCCTATGTTCTTACTGTATACAATAATGTATACATTTATCTTTCTCTTTTATATATATATATATATATATATATATATATATATATATATATATAGAGAGAGAGAGAGAGAGAGAGAGAGATAGCTAATTGGATAGATAGATAGATAGATAGATAGATAGATAGATAGATAGATAGATAGATAGATTGAATAGATATATAGCTACCTAACTAGATAGATAGATAGATAGATAGATAGATAGATAGATAGATAGATAGATAGATAGATTGAATAGGTATGTAGTACCTAACTGGATAGATAGATAGATAGATAGATAGATAGATGAACAGATTGAATAGATATATAGCTACCTAACTAACTAGATAGATAGATAGATAGATAGATAGATAGATAGATAGATAGAAACAGACTGACATAGATAGATAGATAGATAGATAGATAGATAGATTAGAAATGAAAATTACTCCATTTGAATAGTTATTTCACACATCAAGAGCTTCCTTGCAGGATTCACCAACACCAAGGGGTTAAAAAATAAAATAAAATTTTATATTTTTAACCCCTTAGTGTTAACAAATCCTGCAAGAAAGCTTTTGTAGGGTGAAATAGCTATTCAAATGGAGTCAATTGCAACATTTTTTTCTTCAATAACGCGTAGCTGGCAATATTTTTAAATGTATTGCTGGTAATAATTTTTTCCTTCATAATCTGATTGCTGGTAATAATTTAATTTTATCAAGAGTCCTTGCTGTCGGATGTACTTTATCGTCATACCCAGGACGCGGATGTAGTTTATCGTCATACCCACATATTGTGTTGATTATATTCGCATATACTGGTGAGGATTAACTAAACACAATTTCTTTTGAGCAGCTCTGGCTGAAAAGTGAAATGTGTGCATGATGGTTGCAGTATGGAGAAATACACGTACAAGCTTTTGTGAAAACCAATCAGGTTTGAGTATATACTTGTCAGTCTGTTTGTCAATGAAGGACTACTTCTTAAAGCAGTCCGTGATTAAAGAGTCCGTGACTTAAAAAGAAGTTAGGAATCACTATCTTAGACATTTTTAATATGACCGTGTTCGGCCTGGCATTCTATTTGCTTGCTAAAATATGCTGAATTCTATTATATGAATTCATAACAATGTTTTTCTTGTCCAGAAATAAGAGTCACCAGATATAGAGCTCTTGATTTATTTTTTTAATTGATTTTCCAGTCAAAAGAAGGATATATGTGATATTTACACAGACCATAGATGTAGGTATTGTAGGCCTGTGTTCAAAAGAAAAGAACGGGAAAATAGACGTACGCAATAAAGAAAAAAACATAGAAAATTGTATGTTAATTTCATACAATTTTATTTATGTATTTGTATGCATATTTTTTTTACGTTGCCATTGTGTTAATGTACATGTTATAAAAGGGAGCAATTTACTCCGTAGCATTACAAGTCATATCACAGACGAAAGTTACACACGGGTTGTCTTCGTGACGGTTCTTTGGCGAAGAGATTGAATATAACGTCTTTCGGCGGAATCTCCGTATTTCTTGCAGGAACAGTTTTGTTGCATGCTGGGAGTAATTTTATTATTTCTTGTATTTTATTTAATTTACGTTAAACAAGCTTTAAATATTATTAGGTACACATACTTACGAAAATACATTATCATTAAATTCCAATACAGACAAATTAGAATTATGATACTTATATATTTAAAAAAAGATTGCTGCCCTAATGTACATTAATATATATATATATATATATATATATATATATATATATATATATATATATATATATATCCATTCTTAAATAATGTAACGTATGTTTTACCTACCGCAACCGATCGGTGTTTACACAAAAATGTCCCCAAATCAATATGTGGACAACCACTAACTGAAATCATGCTTATCAGATACACACACTTACAACTATACATCACATCTGAATCCCACAAAGAAAAACTAGAATTATGATACACTTACATACATAAAGCAATATTTACTTTTTCCATTTTGTCTTGGAGTCTGTTAGTTTCTTGGAGCTTCGAAAGGACGTTTCTTATATTAATATGTTATTCACTCACACCATAGATGTAGGTATTGTAGGCTTGTTTTTAAGAGATAAAAACGGGGAAAATAAACGTACACATTACAGAAAAAATCATAGTAAATTGTATGTTAATTTCATATAATTTTATTTATGTATTTTTGTGGATACTTTTTTCCATTGCAATTGTGTTAATGTACATGTTATAAAAGGGAGTAATTTACTCTGTAGCATTACAAGTCATATCACAGACGAAAGTTACATACGTGTTGTCTTCGTGACGGTTCTTCGACGAAGAGATTAAATATAACGTCTTTTGGCGTAAAATCCGTATTTCCGACAGGAAGAGTTTTTTCGCTATGAAAAATAATTTAAAAAACCAGGAAACAGAATGCCACAAAAGGAGCTTATTTAATTGGTTGGGCTATTGGTCGATTGCGTTGTCATGGATACGACAGATGACTAAACAATATGATTCCCTAAATATTCATAGGTCATATTTATATTTCAGTGCATGTATCAAGTTTATCTTGGAATCCATAGGTTAACTTAGGTCGTGTTTATATTTCAGTCCATAGGTAGGTATATATCATGTTTATCTTCGAATCCATAGGTTGACTTAGGTCGTATTTATATAAAAGTCTTTTAATACATTTTATTAAAATTTGAAACAAGAAATGTTTCTAAAAATGTTAGCATGAATAAAGTTTCCTTTTAGATCGGGATCGACAATTTCTCGGCTTTATCCACAAAGGAAATGACATTGTTACACCTTTTGCATCTGGGAGAAGGTAATAGGACCTATGACAAAAAATTTGTTATATAAGGTGTTTATAAACTTACATAAAAAAAAATTGTCATAGGTCCGATCAAGATCAAGGTAGTCACTAGCTGAATGGACTAAGACTGAATGACATCATCAAAATTGATTATGATATCTTGTGTCAGTAACACCAAGATCAAGGTAGTCACTAGCTGAATGGACTAAGACTGAATGATATCATCAAATTTGATTATGATATCTTGTGTAAGAAACACCAATATCAAGTTAGTCACTAGCTGAATGGACTAAGACTGAAGACATCATCAAAATTGATTATGATATTTTGTGTGAGAAACACCAAGATCAAGGTAGTCACTAGCTGAATGGACTAAGACTGAATGACATCATCAAAATTGATTATGATATTTTGTGTGAGAAACACCAAGATCAAGGTAGTCACTAGCTGAATGGACTAAGACTGAAGACATCATCAAAATTGATTATGATATTTTGTGTGAGAAACACCAAGATCAAGGTAGTCACTAGCTGAATGGACTAAGACTGAAGACATCATCAAAATTGATTATGATATTTTGTGTGAGAAACACCAAGATCAAGGTAGTCACTAGCTGAATGGACTAAGACTGAATGACATCATCAAAATTGATTATGATATTTTGTGTGAGAAACACCAAGATCAAGGTAGTCACTAGCTGAATAGACTAAGACTGAAGACATCATCAAAATTGATTATGATATTTTGTGTGAGAAACACCAAGATCAAGGTAGTCACTAGCTGAATGGACTAAGACTGAATGACATCATCAAAATTGATTATGATATCCTCTGTTTATCTTTGCTTACTAAAATAAATTTTAAAGTATAAATAAACTTTGTCTTTCCATTGGATATTTTAGTGGGAAAATTGAACAGCCTAAAAGTAAATGTAGGAGTGGTCCATTTTAATTTTTTGACGAAAATGTTTGAGAAGAACTATTTTAGAACGACAATCTCTCGGCATTGTCCACAAAAGAAATGAGTTTATCTTGTATTTTGCTTTCGTGGCTGTCAAATATAAACACCTTATTTAACACCATTTTGTCAGCAAAATATGTTTTCACCAGGAACCCCAATCCACCTGATAAGAAAAATCCTACCTTGTTTATTTTTTTTTATTTATTTTTTTTTTTTTTTTTTTTTTTTTTAACTGTGACTTTATCCTGGTGTAGTGATAGCAGTTATTAGCGCATAGGAATTTGAGTAAGTTATTCTCATGTGATTAATTGTTTTTCATTGTATGTGTATCAATGGTTTCATAATGGGTTCTGTTCACATGACCTATATTCAACGAGCCACAGATTTCCTTCCTATCGTTCACCCTGCCCTCTCAGTGGCATCGTCATTATTTTTAATTCCCTGCTCTATTTCCCCGCCTCGAAACAGCTACATGCAGCCGTGCGCATGCGTATCCTATTTCTTCCTGCGTTATGATGAGACGATTGCATGCAGAAACCTGACCGACCTGCCGATTTAACGTTCGTTTTGCAATCTTCTGGTTTTCTTTCAGCACTTAGAATGCGACCACAACTCTTTCTCAGATCTGTTTTCTCTCAGCATATCTTTGTTTTTACCATTTTTCCATTCATTCTTCTCTCTCTCTCTTTCTCTCTCTCTCACAAACACACACACACACTCTCTCTCTCTCACCCTCTCTCTCTCCCTCTCTCTCTCTCTGACTGTCTCTCTTTTTATCTCTCTCATTTCTCCCTTTGGTCTCTCGTCTGGTCTCACAAGTTCTACCCCACTCTTCTCGTCATTAGATTTTATTTTCTCTTTATATGCACACTCTTTTTCCCCACAGAAGTTCTCTACGGGTTTTCTTTCTTTTCTTTTTTATTTCGTTTCTTTCCTTCTTTCTTTCTTTCTTTCTTTCTTTCTTTCTTTCTTCCTTTCTTCCTGTCTTTCTTGCTTTCTTTCTTTCTTTCTTTCTTTTCATTTCTTTTAATTTCTTTCTTTTTCTTTTTTCGTTTCTTTCTTTCTTTTTTCTTTCTTTCTTTCTTTCTTTCTTTCTTTTTTATTCCTTTTTCTTCCTGTCTTTTTCTTCCTGTCTTTCTTTCTTTCTTTCTTTCTTTCACTATTAATTTCTTTCTTTTTCTTTTTTATTTCGTTTCTTTCTTTCTTTCTTTCTTTCTTCCTTTCTTCCTGTCTTTCTTGCTTTTCTTTCTTTCTTTCTTCCTTTCTTTTTTATTTTTTTTCTTTTTCTTTCTTTTTCTTTTTTCTTTCTTTTTTTCTTTCTTTCCTTCTTTTCTTTCTTTCTTTCTTTCTTTCTTTCTTTCTTTTTTTATTTCTTCCTTCCTTTCTTCCTTCCTTTCTTCCTGTCTTTCTTTTTCTTTCTTTCTTCCTTTTCTTTCACTATTAATTTCTTTCTTTTCTTTTTTTTTTTCGTTTCTTTCTTTCTTTCTTTCTTTCTTTCTTTCCTTCCTTTCTTCCTGTCTTTCTTGCTTTCTTTTTTCTTCCTTTCTTTCACTATTAATTTTTTCTTTTTTTTTTTTTTTCGTTTCTTTCCTTTTTCTTTCTTTCTTTTTCTTTCTTTCTTTTCTTTTCCTTCCTTTCTTCCGGTCTTTTTTGCTTTCTTTCTTTTTTCTTCCTTTCTTTCTTTCTTCCTTTCTTTTCTTTGTTTTTTTTTTTTCTTTCGTTTCTTTCCTTCTTTTCTTTTTTTTTTTTTTCTTTCCTTTTCTTTCTTTCTTTCTTCCTTTCTTCCTGTCTTACTCTTTCTTTTTCTTTCTTTCTTCCTTTCTTTCACTATTATTTTCTTCTTTTTTTTCTTTTTTATTTCGTTTCTTTCCTTCTTCTTTCTTTCTTCTTTCTTTCCTTCCTTTCTTCCTGTCTTTCTTGCTTTCTTTCTTTCTTCCTTTCTTTCACTATTAATTTCTTTCTTTTCTTTTTTTATTTCGTTTCTTTCCTTCTTTCTTTCTTTCTTTCTTTCTTTCTTCCTTTCTTCCTGTCTTTCTTGCTTTCTTTCTTTCTTCCTTTTTATTTTTTTTTCACTATTAATTTCTTCCTTTTTCCTTTTTTTTTATTTTCGTTTCTTTCCTTATTTCTTTCTTTCTTTCTTTCTTTCTTTCTTCCTTTTCCTTTCTTCCTTCCTGTCTTTCTTGCTTTCTTTCTTTTTCTTCCTTTCTTTCACTTTTTTTTTTCTTTCTTTTCTTTTTTATTTCGTTTTCTTTTCCTTTCTTTCTTTCTTTCTTTCTTTCTTCCTTCCTTTCTTCCTGTCTTTCTTTTTCTTTTTTTCTTTCTTCCTTTCTTTCACTTTAATTTCTTTCTTCCTTTTTTTTTTTTTCTTCCTTTCTTTCCTTCTTTCTTTCTTTTTTTTTTCTTTTCTTCCTTCCTTTTCTTTCTTTCTTGCTTTCTTTCTTTCTTCCTTTCTTTCACTATTAATTTCTTTCTTTTCTTTTTTTATTTCGTTTCTTTCCTTCTTTCTTTCTTTCTTTCTTTCTTTCTTCCTTCCTTTCTTCCTGTCTTTCTTGCTTTCTTTCTTTCTTCCTTTCTTTCACTATTAATTTCTTTCTTTTCTTTTTTTATTTCGTTTCTTTCTTTCTTTCTTTCTTTCTTTCTTTCTTTCTTTCTGTCACTCTCCCCTCTGGTTACTTTGTTATTCGTATTTTAGTGACATTGGTATATTCTTTTTTCTTCCATTTTCTTTTTTTCATTCGTGAAATTTTGCTTTCTTTCTCGATTCTTCTTTACATTTTCATTTTCTCTTTTCTTTCTTTTATTCGTTTTTCCTTTTTTTTTCTTTTTGTCTGTTTTTGGTCTTCTTCTTGAGATTTTCTTTCTTTCATCTTTGCTTTCTATTCTTTATAGTTTAATTCCTCTTTTTTATTTTGTTTCATCTTTCCTTCTTTCTTTCTTTATTTCGTTTCTTTCTTTCTTTCTTTCTTTCTTTCTTTCTTCTTCTTCTAATTATTATTATTATTATTAGTAGTAGTAGTAGTTTGGTTTAGTTTATATTGATTTACGGTTTATCAATCTCAATAGGTTATTGAATGCCGACTAGATTTTTAGGGTGGATTCGTATGAATAGAATATGTATTCTTTGTAAGAAATCAGTTTGCCGTTCAGGTCTCATTGGCATATTTTTTGTAAAGAGGGTTTTAGCCGAGAGTCGGGATCATGATTTATTGCTGGTAATACTGTTCTTTTTTTTTTTTTTTTTTTCAAAAATGTATTACTGGTATTTTTACTATAAAAAAAAATCTGTTTTTATACTTTCATATTATTTTGACACCAGTTTGGATGTTAACCTTTTGCTTATAGCTGGGATACTAACAGATGCTGCCACCTCAGATCAGGGTGGATCTAGGAACAACAGCAATTAAGAGGTTCTCTACTCCTAAAAACCTCTAATCTCCCAATCAGAGGTCTTGCTGCCAGATGTAGTTTATCGTCATACCAAGGGCGAGTATAATATTAGTAGAATCTCTGGAAAACATATTTAAAATGCTTTTCTATGAAGCGAAAACTTTTGCTTTATTTTGGTCGTTTCTTTGTACAAGAATAGCTTCCATTCTTTCAAAGTTTGTTTAAAAATTATTAATATATAATATTTTTCTACTATTAATAGTCGTATTCTAGTCTTGTGTTGAGCAATATGACTACAAATTGTCCAAGATTTCAATAAGTGCCAAGTTAACGTACGAGAGAGGGTGATGGTTATGTGATCATCATGTGGATTGGATAATTCTTTTAAAATTCCCAAGAGCGTATAAATTCATAAGGAATATTGTTTTTACATAAAGGTGATTTTTTTATTGTAAAATGATATTAAGTGAAAGGTTTTCATTTTCTTTCATAATAAAGGAGAACTCATTGGAATAATTAAGCTACATGTATCGATTATATTTTTACTGAATCTTTTCTTCTGTATACTTTGAATTCTTTTTGGTTACAATTACGTCAATGACACTTTAATTTAGTTTATATCAGAATTCTTGCTGTACAGTTTCATCCGCCCGCGAAACTTTTTGGTGATCGCAAATCCTCAAGCGGTGGAGAGTGACAAAATATTTTCCAAAAATAAATAGCTATTCACTATGCAATTTATTGACGAAGAGGGTGAGTATGTAGCCAGCAGTAAAAAAAAAAAAAAAAAAAAAAAAGGTTGTTATACGCCTAGGGCAATCTACTCAAGTAGCCCGGATGTAAGTAATAAGAAGGGTAGGGCAGAGCAATAAAGTTTGCAAATCACCCCGCAACGACGTTCTTAATCAGAAATTGATTTTTGTGTCTACATTTAGACTTTAGTTCCTCTCATTTTTTTTAATATTTTAACATCATATATACCCTATAAAATTGTCACTTTTATCTGAGATGAACAGATTACGTCTACTACACTTAACACCAAACGCATGCTATGTAAATGCATTACTTATATTATTCGGACTTTTATCCTCATCTTCATTGCCATATTCAAAATGATTCTGCCTCTATATCTCTGAGATGAGGTATTATGATTACTTGAATTATTTATATTATTCGGACTGTTATCCTTATTTTCATTGCAATAGTCACAACGTTTAGGCCTCTATATCTCTGAGATGTGGTTTTATGATTACTTGAATTATTTATATTATTCGGACTGTTATCCTTATTTTCATTGCAATAGTCACAACGTTTCGGCCTCTATATCTCTGAGATGAGGTTTTATGATTACTTGAATTATTTATATTATTCGGACTGTTATCCTTATTTTCATTGCAATAGTCACAACGTTTCGGCCTCTATATCTCTGAGATGAGGTATTATGATTACTTGAATTATTTATATTATTCGGACTGTTATCCTTATTTTCATTGCAATAGTCACAACGTTTCGGCCTCTATATCTCTGAGATGAGGTTTTATGATTACTTGAATTATTTATATTATTCGGACTGTTATCCTTATTTTCATTGCAATAGTCACAACGTTTCGGCCTCTATATCTCTGAGATGAGGTTTTATGATTACTTGAATTATTTATATTATTCGGACTGTTATCCTTATTTTCATTGCAATAATCACAACGTTTCGGCCTCTATATCTCTGAGATATCATGATTACTTGCATTATTTATATTATTCGGACTGTTATCTTCATCTTCATTGGCATATTCACAACGTTTCGTCCGTTGTACGCTTCAGCCTTCTTCAGCTGATGTGAATTTCGAACCGAACCCATTATTTCGTCCACCCAGGTAGATTCTTCTAGTTTCCTGTCCATATCTCTCCCGGATATCTCAGTTATATCTCTTTAACTCAGCTCTTCATGTTTTTGGTTCACTACAGATGTGGCCCATTTGATAATGACATTGGTTAGATCCAGTAACTAGACCCAAATAGTAGTGAGTGCAGTTAGAAGCCACATATATATATATATATATATATATATATATATATATATATATATATATATATATGTGTGTGTGTGTGTGTGTGTGTGTGTGTGTGTGTGTGTGTGTGTGTGTGTGTGTGTGTGTGTGTATGTATGTACATAATTAAAATAGACAACCTTAAGTTTCCATGACTATAATTTATTTCTCCAGAAAATATATATTTTCCTGGCTCATCAGGTCACACCTTTAGGTAACTCGAGATGAGACCTGATGAACCAGGAAAAATATATTTTCTGGTGAAATAAATTATAGTCATGGAAACTTTCTATGTTTTAATTATTTAATTAATATTTGGTCTGGTTTTGCATTGAGGTTTCCGGATCACATCATCTTTAGAATTATCCACACACATTACCAAACCATTCATTACCTTACTACATATATATATATATATATATATATATATATATATATATATATATATATATATATATATATATATATAGGCGTAATACACAAGTGGTTAGTTAGAAAAGGACTGATTTGGGTGTTGATTTCTCTGAACCTTCTTTTCTCATTGTCTAGCTCAAACATTTCACCTGCATTACAAGTCTTATACACCTTAAAATTAATCGTTTCTCACATAAATTATTCATGATATCCCCAGTTTTCATTTATGGAAGCACATATTTTTATGCTTGAAGAGCTTTCCTCATTTATAACAGGGTGAAAATGTTGAATGTGTTAATTTTTGTAACCTTGTACGCGCTGCACATATCTGTATTTTCATTGACATATACGCATATATACACACATATATACACAATACACGAAC